ATATATATATATATATATCTTAAAAGTTCCCAACCTCAATCTGATTTTAGCTATGTGACATAGTTTAAACTTACTCCTTCAAAATAAATCAAAAGGAACATGTTTCCAGTTTAACTGGATAGGAGATATTTTTGAGTTTTATCACTTTTGTATTTTAAGGACACTTTTTTACTTTAACTGTGAGAAGAAAAATGTTTGGCATATGCCGTTCTGCAGGTCACAAAGGAAAGCAGCACTGCAGACATGTAAAAACACAGAAGAGCCAAAGATCAGGGTTCTTCAGTCCCAATCATCTAAGACTGATACATGGACATACACTCACCGGCTACTTTATTAGATACACCTGTCCAACTGCTCATTAACGCAAATGTTGAATCAGTCAATCACATGGCAGCAACTCAATGCATTTAGGCATGTAGACATGGCCAAGACGATCTGCTGCAGTTCAAACTGAGCATCAGACTGAGGAAGAAAGCTGATTTAAGTGACTTTGAACATGGCATGGTTGTTGGTGCCAGAAGGGCTGGTCTGAGTATTTCAGAAACTGCTGATCTACTGGAGAATGGTCAGACAAAGAGAAAATATCCCGTGAGCGGCAGTTCCATGGGCGCAAATGTCTTGTTGATGACAGAGGTCAGAGGAGAATGGGCAGACTGGTTCGAGCTGATGGAACAGCAACAGTAACTCAAATGCACACTTGTTACAACCGAGGTTTGCAGAAGAGCACCTCTGAACACACAACACATCAAACCTTGAGGCAGATGGGCTACAGTAGCAGAAGACCATACCGGGTGCCACTCCTGTTAGCTAAAAACAGGAAACTGAGGCTACAATTCACACCAGCTCACCAAAATTGGACAATAGAAGATTGGAAAAACGTTGCCTGGTCTGATGAGTCTCGATTTCTGCTGCGACATTCGGATGGTAGGGTCAAAATTTGGCATCAACAACATGAAAACATGGATCCATCCTGCCTTGTATCAATGGTTCAGGCTGCTGGTTGTGGTGGTGCAATGGTCTGGGGAATATTTTCCTGGCACACTTTGGACCCATTAGTACCAGCTGAGCATTGTATCAACACCACAGCCTACCTGTTTCTGACCATGTCCATCCCTTCATGACCACAGTGTACCCATCTTCTGATGACTACTTCCAGTAGGATAACATGCCATGTCATAAAGCGCAAATCATCTCAGACTGGTTTCTTGAACACGACAATGACTTCACTGTACTCGAATGGCCTCCAGAATCATCAGATCTCAGTCCAATAGAGGACCTTTGGGATGTGGTGGAACGGGAGATTCACATCATGGATGTGCAGCTGACAAATCTGCTGCAAATGCGTGATGTTATCATGTTAATATGGACCAWACTCTCTGAGGAATGCTTCCTGTACCTTGTTGAATCTATTCCACGAAGGATTAAGGTAGTTCTGAAGGCAAAGGGAGATCCAACCTGGGACTAGCAAGGTGTACCTAATAAAYTGAGTGTAATGTTATGACTGATTTGTTATCTGGTTCGACCAGATCATTTTAGCTTTTACTGATCATCATAAACGTTTTATAAACAATAAAATAACTTTTGTGTTTGAAAGTGTGTACACTGACTCACAAACAGCTCTTTAGTGCGTCTTACTTGAGGAGATTTCCCAAGTTAAAAAGAGCTCGGTTATGTTGAGGATTGGTGTCCAAGGCTTTCCGATAGTAATGTTCAGCCTCCTCTTGGTTGTCAGTCAGGGTGCCCAGATTGTTCATGGCACTGGCATGACGGGGGAATAACCTGTCAGCAAAGGACCAAAGGACAGTGTCTTTAGACTACTTTTTGCTAGTAAAAATGTTGAACATTTTACTTTAAGTTCAAACATTTAATTGCTTTTTTAAAATACACTTGTAAAGAAAATGTTTAKCATTCTTTTGTTATTAAAATTTTGTCCTTTAAATGTTTTATTTAAAGTTTAACATGGAGGGCAGCATAGTGGTGRAATTGGTAGAACTGCTGCCTCACAGCAAGAAGGTTGAAGGATTGCATTCCAGCCTTTCTGTGTGGTTTGCATGTTCTCTTCACGCAGGTGTGGGTTTCCTGCAGATACAGTGGGGTGCAAATGTTTAGGCAGCCTTGTTAATTTTCCTGATTTACTTTTATAAATCATTGATTGTTTGGATAAAAAAATCAGTTAAATATATCAAGTTAAATATATCATATAGGGGACAAACAGTGATATTTGAGATGTGAAATGAAGTTGATATGACTTACAAAAACTGTGCAATAATTGGTTAAACAAAATTAGGCAGGTGAATAAATTTGGGCACCAAAAAAAAACAACCTTAACTCAAAATTTAGTAGATCCTCCTTTCACAGAAATAACCTCTAAACACATCCAATAGCTTCTAATGAGAATCTGAATTGTGGCTGAAGGCATTTTAGATCATTCTTCTTTACAAAACATCTCTAGTTCATTCAGGTTTGATGGTTTCTGAGAATGGACAGCTCTCTTTAAGTGACACCACAGATTTTCAATAATATTCAGATCTGGGGACTGAGATGGCCATTCCAGAACATTGTACTTGTTCCTCTGCATGAATGCATTAGCAGATTTTGAGCAGTGTTTAGGGTCGTTGTCTTGTTGGAAGATCAGCCCCGGCGCAGCTTCAGCTTTGTCACTGATTCCTGGACATTGGTCTCCAGAATCTGCTGATATTGATTGGAATCCATGTGTCCCTCAACTTTACCAAGATTCCCAGTCCCTGTACTGGCCACACAGCCCCACAGCATGATGGAACCACCACCGAATGTTACTGTAGGTAGCAGGTGTTTTTCTTGGAGTGCTGTGTTCTTTTTCCTCCAWGCAMAACYYRCCTTGTTCTGCCCAAATAACTATTTTAGTTTCATCAGTCCACAGCACCTTATTCCAAAATGAAGCTGGCTTGTCCAAATGTGCTATAGAATACCTCAAGCGGCTCTGTTTGTGATGTGAGCAGAGAAAAGGCTTCCTCTGCATCATTCTCCCATACAGCATCTCCTTGTGTAAAGTGTGCTGAATAGTTGAAGGATGTACAGTGACTCCATCAGCAGCAAGATGATGTTGTAGGTCTTTGGTGCTGGTCTGTGGGTTGACTCTGACTGTTCTCAACATCCTTCGCTTCTGTTTATTCCAGATTTGTCTTGGTCTGCCACTTGGAGCCTACACTTGAACTGTGCCTGTGGTCTTCCATTTTCTCACAATGTTTCTCACAGTGGAGACTGAAAGCTGAAATCTCTGAGACAGCTTTCTGTATCCTTCCCCAAAACCATGACGGTGATCAATCTTTGTTTTAAGCACATTTGAAAGTTGTTTTGAGACTCCCATGCTGCCAAGAGGAAGATAATGGTCTGAAGATGCAAAGAGGAGAAAAACTTACAATTGCCCCCCTTAAATACCCTTTCTCATAATTGGAGTCACCTGTGTATGGAGGTCCAGGGTCACTGAACTTACCAAACCAAATTTAAGTTCCAACAATTAGTTCTAAATGTTTTAAAATCAATAAAATGAAAACGGTGCCTAAATTTATGCACCTGCCTAATTTTGTTTAACCAATTATTGCACACTTTCTGTAAATCACATAAACTTCATTTCACTTCTCAAATATCACTGTGTTTGGCCCCTATATGATATATTTAACTGATTTTTTTAACCAGACTATCAACGATTTATAAAGGTAAATCAGGAAAATTACCAAGGCTGCCCAAACTTTCACACCCCACTGTAATCTAGTTCCCTCTGTAACATGAAGGACCACTCTTCTGTGATGACCTTTTAACCCTGACATTATGTTCCATAACTGAACTGAACTTTCTTCTTTAAAAGTTATTTTAAAGTTTACTTTTGAGATATTGTCTTCTATTTCAATAAGGATAAGGTTCATTGTCTTTACAAGGTCTTTCGTCTTAAAAGAGTCAGAAGTCGAATTTGAAGCTTTCCATTTCCACTCAGCCTGCCTGTACACCCTTCTGACATGTATAAATTAAGTTTAAGAGATAGTTAACTAACTGTACAGACAAACTCACTCATGCATAAACCAACTCAGTCAGACAAATTCATTTTCACTCTGCCTTTGTTTTGCAGGTAAAGAACAGTCAGCAATTCTAATCCTAACCTACTGTATGTTCATTGTCAGTTGGCAATCTCACCTGAGGGCGATGTTGTAGTGGCGTATGGCTTCCTGGTTGCGGCCATTGTCTTTAAGAAAGTTGGCGTAATTGTAATGGACTTTGGCATTGTGAGGAAGAGTCTGGATACCAGAACTGAAAAATGAAAAGCGGGAAAGTAAAATAATGCTACGTTGTTGGAAGAAAATATTGTGCAAACATCAGTGGGAAATCAACTATTTTTTAATGGAGATTTAATGGAATGGACATCCTTTTTATTTAGGTAGAGGTGTGTAAAGTACTTCAAGGTTGCCGCAGTTCACTCAGCAGCAGAGATTATTGATATAAAGAACCACAGATTATAGACAGTGAAAGACTAATATGCCCACAGTCAGTTTCATTTACTTTCAAGAAATGAAACTTTTAACACACTCTTTAAAGCTGAACTTGACTGAACCTTTCAACCCTAACACCTGGGAGGTTAGGGTTGTAGGAACGTTATCACAGTATTTAGGGTTTCAAGTTTTATCTTCACAGAAGCTGTTTTTCTGTTTMCATYCATGTCAAGCTGTGCAAATTGTRCATAAATTWCACTWATCATTCTGTGRTTGTCTGTGTCTCTTTCCTATCCTCTCAAACCCAGGCAGTTGAGGCTGATGGCTGCTCATCCTGAAATTGGTTCTGCTGGAGGTTTCTTCCTGTTAAATGGGAGTTTTTCCTTTCCATTGTTGCCAATGTGCTGCTCAGGATGGGAGACTGTAAACCAGAGATTTTTTTGTACAGTGCCCTGAGACATTTTTTTGTGGCTTGGCGCTATATAAATAAACTGAATTGAATTTTCCATTTAGCATGTATTCATGTACATATAGAAAAAATTTCCTTGATTTTTTTTCAAAAACTTAACTTCAAATTTATTTTACATCACAGAGCCTGCCTGTAAGGAAACTGTTTGCTCTCTCCTCCACCCACTAGAGCAGTGGTTCCCAAACTTTTATCTTCTGACCCACAAACTATCCATGGCAAAAACTTGTGACCCCCAAAATTACTGGTCTGAGTACACAAACTTTGTTAATAACCCTAAAAATACAGGCTTTTTGACTATCTAAACAGCTTGTACACAAATATAAATATGTACTTATACTTATTTTGTGTTTTTGTAATAATTATAGGGAAAATATTACATCATTAATTATTTTATTATCCTTTTAATTGATTTCTGGAGATTAAGGTGCTTCATGACCCATAATT